TTATTAACTTCATTATTGCTCGCCCTTCTCCCATTGGATTGCAAGCTCCAGGAAGCAGGGGCCCTGGCCCTCCTCCTGCACGATGTCACATGTCCAGCGCACAATGGGCAGCCAAGGGCTGTGGGGTGAGGGACAGAGATGTGCCTGCCCCACTGGAATTACTTCTACTGGCCAGAGAAAAGGCTGCTTGTAGGTAGTGGGACCATTGCCAATTTCCTTCAAATCATAACCTATGTCAGGCAACTTTATTCCCAAAATGACAGACAATCCTAATGAGTAAGGCCATTGTAAAATTTCTAAATAAGATTTCACATTGATGGATTAAGGAAAGTGAGAGTCTTTACACAGAGACATGCACAGGTCACAAAAAAAGCACATCGTCAGACCACATCCGTGCACATTGCTTTCAGGAAAAACCATGCCTACGTCCAGAGATGACCGATCCCTGCCCTTCATTCCTAGGGAAGCCAAGATTCCAGAGGCAATGAAAACCACAGTTCTGCTGCTGCCTCTGAGGTCTGACCTGCCCGGGGCACGTGGAGACTGCCAGGGAAGAGCCCACTGTGGGTGGATTTCCGCTTCCTTCTGGCCCTCCTCTCGGAGCTGGGAAACCTCATTGCCCCAAGTGTTCAGGGTTTTTTAAAATTTAGTTTCTTCTTCCATGTTCTTTACCAGAGAAAACTTTGGAAGAATATCCTGTTTTGGAGAAGTTTATAACAGCTGTAAAGATCTCTATTAACCATCCTTTATCAGTGAGATAAAGACCAGCTGTTTCACTAATTGCCCTTAACTGCTGGGGCTTGATTATTAATGAATGCCCTTGCCTTGAGTTCAAACAGCTTAATTAGCTAAAGTTAAGTGTTCCCAATAAATTTACTAACCTATGATAAGCTGTTCTTTAATAGGAAACGTGCAGTTCTTAATTAAATGGAATAATTTACAACTCCACGTCTGTTGTAAGTAATGGCTGCCCAGTTGCTCTGTTACCTAATTAGGTGATACTGAACTTCCTCTGATGGGATCAGAGGTTGCAGCTGGACCTGCCCTTGGGCGAGCATGTGCTGGAGCAGCTGTGACAGGTCACGCGCGCGAGTCTGGGCTGCAGTCTCCTCCCTCTGGCACTTAAGGAGCCCCGGACCTCCTCTGAAGATGGGGGTTCCCTACCACAGAGCTTCTGGGGCCTTGACTGGGAGCATCTGCAACCGGTAAATAAGGAAGAAAAAGATAGGCTAATGCTCACTGTAAACACTTCGAGATTCACATTTTTTTCCCTGAGGGGCGGGGGCATTTTTAAACAATAGCTTTATTACAATTAACTTACGTACCATAAAATTTACCCATTTAAAGTGTACAATTCAGTGGGTTTTAGTTTATTCACAGAGTTTTGCAGTAATCGGAATATAATCTTTTTATTGACATGAATACTGTACATATTCATGGTGTTTTGTGTGATCATTTTTCACACATATACAATGTGATCAAATCAGGGCATTTCATCTCCTTAAACATTTATTATTTCTTTGTGTCAGAAACCTTGGAATCTTCTCTTCTAGTTCCTTATATAATATGCTAAATTGATATAAATTATGGTCAGCCTACTGTGCTGTAGAACATTAGAACATTAGTATTCATCCTATGTAACTGTGCTGGGTCACATCTTTATAGGAAAAAATTATGTCGAGTGATAAGTCTGTATGACACTAACAAAAACCAAACACGTCCAGGGGGACTTTATACAGGATACCTGGCCGATATCAGTCCTCAAGACTGTCAGGGTCGGGGCAAAATAACAGAGTGGAAAGCTGACACAGGAAGAGATGACTAAAGATTCCTAACAACTACATCAGCGTGTGTCCTGGATGGGATCACAAAACAGAAAACGTGCATGAATGGAGAAAATGACGAGATCCAAATAACAATATTTTAGTCTAAGATTTGACAAATGCAACATGGAGGTGTAAGACATTAACAGTCTCTGGCAAGGGCAGAGTTCAGACTTGGTACCAGCATTATAAATTTCTATAAATACGAAAATCAGTGTTTTTAAAATACTGCTTACCCAGGCCTGGGATTTAGCTCAGTGGCACCACACCTGCCTCACAAGCGCAAGGTCCTGAGTTCAATCCCAGGTACCAAAAAATAAATACATAAAATAAAATACTGCTTACCTACTGGATAAGAGAAGCTTAAAATAAGTTTGTCCAACTGATGAAGATAAATAAAATTATTCATATGATGGACAGTTCTACCTGTATGATATGTGCAAAGTAGACAAACCCACTGGGACAGCAGACAAGTGGATACCAGGGTGCTGGAGGGAGGTGAATCGGGGGGGACTGTTCAAGTTTCAAGGTACTTTGTTGGTGTGATGAAAATCTGTTGGAACTAGATAGTAATGATGGTTATAAGACACGTGACTAAATGTCACTGAACTACACATTTTATAATGGTTAAAATGGTAAGTTTTATATGTATTTTACCACAAGAAAAAATTTTAACTAAAACAGGTTTGTCAGAATTACTGACCATTAACAAAAATATAAAGACCTTCCCTTGGGCTCTTCATTGTGAGTTCTGTTTTGTTTTTTTGTCTGCTTCTTTTTGCAGTGCTGGGGATTGAGCCCAGGGCTTTCACAATGAGCTACATCTCAGCCCTTTTTTAATTTTTAATTTTGAGACAGAATCTTGCTAAGTCCCTGAGTTGCGCATGTTGGGTTTGAACTCGCGATCCCCTAGCCTCAGCTCTCAGAGATCCGGGACTACAGGTGTACACCGCCACGCCCAGCCGCAGACCTCACTCTTGATTACACCTGGGCCACGAGCACATCCCTGTGAGTCTCGGGTTCCACCACGTCACGGAAGCCTGTGCCAGAGAAGAGCTGCTGATCCGAGAGAGTGGGGAATGTGCACTGTCGAGGTCCTTGGCGGCAGGCAACGCTTTGTGCGATGATGATGCTCAGCCCCAAGGTGACCACTGCCCAGAGTCCCTCTTAGATTTAGAATTCAGGCTGGCTTGCTTTTCAGGTTTCGGTGAAAATGAAGGAAAGCCTTGCTCATCAGAGCACCAGGTATGGTCAAGAAAAGTGGCGATCGGGTGTTGCTGTAGGTCCACAAGTCTTGCTCTCAGACAAACGCCTAATGGGTCCAGAAGATTCCTCCAGACCCCACACCCCTCAGGCACAGTGGTCCTGCTCCTGTCACAGGGCTCCGCTGTGGGCCTTTGATGATAGAGCCCTGTGACTGGCATCAAAGTGGGCAGTGCAGCTCCAGGCTCGAGGACAACACAGCCTCAGACAGGACCGGAAGCAGGGGAGAAAGAGACTGAACCCCACCGTGTGCCTGTCTTGGAGTGGACAGTGTGCCCCGAAACTCAGGTCCCCCCAGAATATGCGAATGTGATCTCATTTGGAAGAAGAGGTTTTGCGGATACCATTAGTTAAGGTGAGATGAAGACACTGCACTAGAGCGGCCCTAAATCCCAGAGACAGTGTCCTTATAAGACCAGGTACAGAAACAGCCCAGCTGTCCATGAGCTGACAAATGGATAAAGAAAATGTAGGGCACACGCGGTGAAATGCTATTCAGCTACAGAGAGGGCTATGAAATCCTGTCACTTGTGACAGCACAGATGGAAGGGAAGTCATTGTGTTAAATGAATGGAGCCAGGCAGAGAAAGAGGAGCGCGCACGATCTCAGTCATATGTAGAACTGCAAAGAGTTGATCTCAGAGAAATTGAGAGTAGCAGGTTGGTTACCGGGGCTGGGGAGATTAGGGGAGTGGGCGGAGTGTGGGCAGACTGATGGACAGGTACTAAGTTACAGCTAGAGAGAGGTAAGGAGTCTTGGTGTGCTATCGATAGGGTGACTATAGATGACAATAAGGTTCTGTATATCGCAAAAAAGCAGGAAGAAAGACTATGAATGTTTTCACCATAAAGAAATGATAAATGTTTGAGGAGAAGGCTATTTAGCTGATTTAAACATTACACATGTGCACACATGTTGAAACATCCTCTGGAACCCCCATAAATATGTACAATGTTTATGTATCATATAAATTTTTTTTGTATATCCTTTTATTGGTACATTTTAGGTGTACAATATAATGACATTCATCATTGAAGATATGCAGCTTTACATACTCTCTTGGTTCTTATTTTTTCCCCATTCCCCTGCCCTCCCTTCAACCCCTCCATCGCTCCCTATTTACAAAGACTTTGTTTCCATTTTTTTCACTTTCTCATATGAATCCCATTCCCTTCTTTCTTTTCCCCTACCCCTCCCACTTCGCCCTCCCCTTTGCCCCTTTTCTTCCTATTTCACATGATCTATTATACCTTTTAGTCCTTATTTACACTTTCTGTTTCTCACACCAGAGAAACTATTCAGTATTTACACATGTGTGTCCTATTTATTTCACTTAAGAGTATCGCCTCAGTGTGCATCCATTTAGCAATAAATGTCTCTAATTTCTCATTTTTGATGGCTGAATAGTACTCCATTTTATTTAAAAAACCACATTTTCTTGAACCATTCTCCAGTTGATGGGCACTTGGGCTGTTTCCAAGTTTTAGCTATTACAAACTGTGCCGCTATGAACATGGGTGCACATATATCACTGTGGTATGATGCTTTTATTTCTTTGGGGAAGATACCCAGCAAGGGAATAGCTGGGTCAAACGGGACTTCCAGTCCTAGTTCTTTGAGGTATCTCCATACTGATTTCCACAGTGGTTGCACCAGTCTACACTCCCACCAACAGTGGAGCAGGGTTCCTCTTTCCCCACACCCCCGCCAGCATTTGTTGTTGGTTGATTTCATGATAGCAGCCATTCTTTCTGGAGTGAAGTGGAATCTCAGTGTTGTTTTCATTTTCATCTCTCGAATGACCAGTGATATTGAACATTTTTTCATGTTTATTTGCCACGTCTACTTCTTTGTGTGAGAAATGTCTGTTCATTTCAGATGCCTGTTTTTGGATTGGGTCTTTAAATTGGGGATGTATCAGTTTAAATTTTAATTAATCAATTTATTTGTTGGGGCCGTGGTTTAGGTTTATTTTTTTGAGACATGTGGTCTCGCTATGCGGTTCAGGCTATTCTTGAACTCATTATGTAACCCAGGCTGGCCTCAAACTCGTGGTGATCCTCCTGCCTCAGCCTCCCATGAAATTAATCAATTTTAAAAGGCAAGTGAAGGCACACAGAGAATGCTCTTCAGAGATGGAGCAACACTGCCACCAACCGAGGAAGGCCAAGGAAGCTAGGGAGAGACAAGGAAGGGTTCTTCCACTGAAATCTCCAGAGGGACAGGGCCCTGCTGACACCTTCATTTCAGACTTCTGGCCTCTAGGACTGTGCGGGAATAACTTTGTGTTGTTTTAAACCACCTGGTTGGTGGTTATTTGCTATAACAGCTCTGGGAAACTGATACAGGGTCCATGTCCCCTGTGGGCTGGCACTTTTTTTTTACTTTTCCTCGTGATCAAATATGAGTGTGTGAGAGGAGACAGCCCCTCAGGCAGGCCCGACAGTGCTACCTTAAAGGCCGTGTCGGTGAGCGTGGAAGAGGGGAGTGACTTCACAGCTTCTCGGCAGCTCAGGCTTTGAATGTTGTCCTGGTTGAGGACCACACATTTAATCCAGGCAGAGTGACTTCCGCAGTTCATCTGGAAGGCTTCCAGCTATTAATTAGGTTCGTTATTATCATCCCTGCCAAACTGATGAAACCTCATTAGGCCCAGACAATAAAACTGTTTGCTCAAAATCACATCATTTATAAGCATCATTTACACGTATGACAAATCCCACCAGCATGTATTTGGGCAGAGCCTTGAACATTTTCAAAACAGCTCTTCATGGCATCTTGAGAAATCTTCACACAAACCCTGGGGCAAAAATAAGATAGGGATTTTGACTCCATTTCTCCAATGAAGCAACTGAGGTCCAGGTAAATTTTTCTCTTCTATTTTGGTTGACTCGCAGGTCCTCCCTCCACATCACGCTGCCACTTCCTCTCTCTCGTAATCCCCATTGTCAACCTAAAATATATTCTTCCAAATTCATCTCCCCGTACTCCTGCAATCACATACAAATATATGTATATACACACTGCGTACAACACACAGGCATTCATCATGTTACACACACCTCCTGGGCTCCCATTTCCTCATTCTGCAAAATGCTGTGGAAATCCCTCCAAGGCAGCTGGTATGGCTCTAATTCATCGTTTTTTGATGGCTGCAGAAAATTCCACGGTGCGGATGTCCGGTAATTTATGCAATCATTAATGAGCACTCACTGAGTTCCCCTCTTTTGCTCCTGCCAACAATGCCGCAGTAAACATTCCTGCTGCCCATGTCCTCACTCACTGTGGCTTTCATTTCTAGGAGATGGAGTCCCAGGAGGGGGTTACTGGGTCAAGGAGCATATGCATTTGTTTTAATTGCTTTTAAAAGAATAAAGCAAGAGAACAGGATGGGGGTTATTTCTCAAAGGACAGAAGAGACAAGGGAAACACTGGAGAGGAGCCTGCCAGTGATTCCAACAGTTTCCGGCCTCAAGAGTGGTTCGTTTTATCACCATTCTTTATAATTTACTTGTATGTTATTAACTATATTATCTGGTATGTATTCAACATTACATAGCAATTTTAAATAATCTGCATATTTTAATTTTAATAAATGGGATCAAAAGAGCTTAAATAACCCTCATCTTTACCAACGCTACAGGAAATTAACCCTTTCTCTGCTTCTCCGTGGTAATAAATAACCATGTTTTCCATTTTTCTCCCAGCCTGAGAGAGCTCTCTCATTGTTACTTTAGTTTACATTTCTCTGACATTAATGAGTTTTTGCATCTCTTATACATCTGTCATCCATTTGGCTGGATATACATGGCATTTTAAATGATCTACAAACTCTTATTAAATAAAAAAGGAGAGGCTGATATTCAACCTTTTTAAATCTCACTCTGAAAGATAAAGCACAGAGTACTTACATGCATAAACCAAAAAACTTATTAACACGAAAGGTTTCTATTTCACCTGAAGCTCAAGATGTCACATAACACGAGTGGCCTTCAAGAAAATCCCCGTATAGGACCCCATCCCCTGAAACACTAGGCACAAATGGTTCTTCCTGTGGGAGGTGATGGGCCAAACAGACCATGGCCCACAGGGTGAGCGTGTCCTGTCCTCAAGGAGGCACTGCCTGGCCGTCTGTGGGCAGTGGGGGCCTGCCCAGCAGCCTGGCTGGGCCCCTTGCGTGTCTTCCCTTCATCCACACTGACTTACAGGCTGGTCTTTTCACAACACTGGGACTGTCACTTGGTCCTTTCCTTTTCTCACCATAGACATCATCCAGAAAAATCGCTGAAGATCTTATTTTTTTTAAATAGCCACCTAACTTTGCATTAGAGAGATATATCAGATTCTATCCAGTTATTTGCTGCTGACAGGCATTTAGGTTGCTTCCCATTTGTTTTGTTTTGCATTATTACAGAGGACTGTAATAAATGTTCTTGTATGTATTTTCTTATATTCTAGGTCAGATTGTTCCCTCTTCCAACTATGTATATTTAACCTTTTCACCATACCCTCTTTAAGACCAGGTGTTATTGACTGGCTTTGTTTTTGGTTTTTGATGATTGGTTGGGTGTGTGGTGTGGACAAAACCTAAAAGGTTAAGAATTAAAAAGAAATTCCACTTAGTACTAGATTCTTTAGCTACCTTGACATAGTGATCACTTATAATTTTATAACTATAGGAGCCGGGGATTTAGCTCACTGGTTTCACCACCGGCCTTGCAAGCACAAGGACCCGAGTTCGATCCCCCGTACCAAAAAACAAAAAAGAATCTCCATAATTTTATAACTACAATTTTTATAGTCTTCTACTCTTTCTGATCAACCCATGCACTTGTCCTTTTTTCCCTTCTGGAATTTTGCTACTGCTACAAAGTCAGAATTTAATTTTTTAAATTTCCAATTCCCTTTTTTTAATTTTCTTCTTTCTCAGTACTTGTTTGCAGTATATAACAATTACATGTGTGGGGGGAAGTTAATTCTTTGTCCATTCCTTTCCCCTCCTCAACCTCTCTCACCAGCTGCCTTTGAACTACTGACTTCCTGTTGTTATTTACAGAGGAGATGCTGGATGTGATATGGACGCTGCCTGCGGTTAACACACACAGTGTCATCAGAGCACAATGATATATACAAATAAGTGCGATTAGTACCGTGGAAATACCACAGTGTAAAAATACACATAGTGCTCCTGGGACTTGGAGGTCTCATTTTTAGATAGGAAGTCAGCAAGGCAACTTGAAGAATCTGGCTGTGGAGCAAAGCTTCAAGGCACTGCTCCAATTCTGACATATGGAAATGAGTGGAAGGAAAGAATTAGAGGAGAAGGAAAGAATTAGAGGAGAAGGAAGCACCAATGTATCTTTCTATGACACTGTGATTTATTGTAAGAAATACATATTTTGGACTTCATCTTCAGTTCCTAGCCAAGAGCTCCTAAAACCCTTATCACTTCCTGAGCAACAGAGGTGCTAAGAGAATCTTTTGTTCAGATATTTGATCTTTGAACCTACAGAGCTCCTGTCAGAATTTGGATGACAGAGGCATCTTTTCTTCTAACGAGGCAATTTGTGGTGGGCTCCTAGATGGGTGGCAGTCACCAGAAGGTCCAAGCCATGATTAGAGGCTTGGAACAGTGAACCTCGCCTCCCAGCTTCCAGGTAAAGGAGAGAGGCCGAAGCGGGGTGTCATGGTTGGTCACGTCTGTATGATGGGCCCTCCGTGAAAATCCCCAAGCCACAGAATCAGCGGGAGCTGCTGGGATGCTGGACACATGGATGACGGAGGGAGTGCAGGAGCTCCGTGGTTTCCCCACACCGTGCCTCTCGCTTCTCTGTCCAGCCGTCTGGCGGCATCTTTTGCGATATCCTTTGTAATAAACGGGTGATCACTAGAACATGCTGTCCTGAGTTCTGGCAGCCGCTCCAGCAGATGATCAAGTCAAGGAATGAGTCACGGGAAACCCCGATGTATAGCCCGTGGGTCAGAAGTTCCAGAATTTTGGCATCCAAATTAGGGATGGTCTTTTGGAACTGATCCTTTAATTTTGGGGATCTGTCTCTAACGCTAGGTAGTTTCAGAACTGAAGTAAATCCTAGGCTATCCAGTTGGTGTCTCCAGGAAATTGATTGATAGGTGGGGAAAACTTCACATATCTGGTCATAGTCTCGTGTGTTGAGAACACTTGTTCAGGTGGGGATTTTTTTTCCTATTACACATTTTCCTTTTCAAATCCCTAGACAATAATAAAAACAAGAACTCAGAGTTGCAAATAGTCACTGATTATGGATGACTGATGTTGAAATACATGCATGTAGTACCTTTTCAATGAATGCACTACAAATGTCTTCATCATAGGAGCTATCAGTTAATTCATAATGACAAGAAGTGAAAATAAAGACAAGAATCATTTTCGTAATCTAACTGTATGACAGTATTACATGAAAGTAAATTTAGTGGCAATATTAAAAGCAGCAAGGAAGAAACTAAACCAACTTCCAATAAATTTCATTCATTCAATGAATAATAGATTGTTATACGTGATAATGCGGCGGAAGAGACAGTATGCCAATCATGGGGTAGCCTAATGGGGAACGTGGGAAAGTTTAAAGAGCAAAAAGATAAAGTTTGCCAACTACATTCCAGTCTCTCGTTTCTCATCACTATTCTCCAAGAATCAGGGCTCTTTGCAGAAGTGACTGGGGCTAGGGGCAGGGAAGGGACATACAAGATGAGCCTGGACATCAGTACCCCCAAGGGGGGACATGTCAAAATCTGAGAAATCTCCCAACAGCCAAAGCCAGGACAACTGTAGCAACAAAATAAATGGTACAATCCAGTATTGTTCATTGTGAATACAGCCCACTATGGATTGTAAGCCAAAGTACAAATGATTGATCAGATAAATAAATACATGGGAAAGAACAAATCTTCCTTACAGAAGAATTCCAAATAATATCTATAGATACCCCCACTTCCACTCCACTCCCTCTGAGGGTGGGATGGAATGAGCAACTGCTTTCTAACACTTCTGCAGGAGTCTTGACAGGAGCGGGAAATGGTCCCCTTAGAGCAGGGACACCTCCGACTCTGTCTTAGCACTAATCAAGGTCAGCATCACCATGATAGGTTGGTAGCATGCAACTCTGTGCTATTCCTTCCAGAGCACCACCAACCTGGCTAAATATGCACACCAACTTCCTGCCACCCAAGCTGAAGGACATTTAACAAAACACCCAAGAAATGTTCCTCAAATTGTCAAGTTCACAAAAAACAAGAAACGACAGGGACTAAAGATACAGGAGAACTGAATGAAATATGGTATCCTGGAACAGAAAAAGGATACCAGTGGAACAACCACAGAAATCCAATTCAGGTCTGGAGTTTCATTTTAAAATCATAGAAGGTCTGGGAGTATAGTTCAGTGGTACAGTGCTTGCTTAGCATGCACAAGGCCCTGGATTCAATCTCCAACACCAAAAATCACTTTTTAAATTAAATTACAAGATGCCATGAAAGCATATACCAAGAGGAACTAATTTTTTACTTTTATTTTTAAGGAGCAACTGATATAAACACAAAGATTTCAAGGCAGAATAAAAATCTGGATATGATTTTTTAATTTAAAATCCAGAGATATCTGGCTCTATAGGCAGACAACCATTATCCAGGTTAACTGGTTTCTTTTATTATCATCATCATTATTTTCTCTTTATTGTGTTTTTAATTTTTAAAAATGACCTTTGTTCTATGTGCTCATTAGGACTAATCAAACAATATAGAGAAATACAAAGAAGAACCCAGACCTTTTCCCCCATCAGACTCCAACCAACCCCCTCTGAGTAAGCAGTTTGTGATGTTTTCTACAACCTCTCCTGTGTCATATAAGAAATGGAAAATATATGCAGAGCTTTTCTTTTCTCCTATTTGAACTGCAAAAATGTTATCTTAATTCCCTGCTTAACACAACTTGCTTCTTTGGTGCAAAAATATATCTTTATGTACTACTATAAATATCTCCCAGAACAATGCATCTACATCAAACTTGTTTTTTCCTTAGATCAACTTTACCAGGACACAATTCATATGGGATAAAATGTGCCCGTTCTGAGCATGTGCTTACTATGTGTGCACAGATGTATACAACTTCATGACGTCCAGCAGAGAATTTGGTTTTTAAAGCAAAGTCTCTGATAGTCTTGGCAAATTCAGTGCAATTTTGTGACTCTTCCTTTGGGATAGCGGACAAGGGGAGGTAACCAGTAGATGGTGTTGGAGAATAATCCATGCAAGTGCTGTGGTTCGGATACAGTTTGTGTGTGGACTTCTAGAGCCCATGTGCTGGAAGCTTAGAGTTCCCACAGCAGCAGCATTGAGAGGTGGCCGGACCCCTAAGCAAGGGAACCCAGGGGGAGGAATTAATGCCATCCTCACTAATGAGTTACTTCCCTTTAGAATGGGTTATTGTAAAAAGAGCCCTGGGCTAGGGATATAGCTCGGCAGGTGGTAGAGCAAATGCCTAAGTGTGAGACCCTGAATTCCATTCCCCACATGGAGTGGGGCGGGGGCTGGACCCTGACTCCCTGTGCCTTCCTGTCTCCTTGTGCTGTCTCTTCCACACAAACTGCCACCACTGCAATGCTACATGCCATGGGGCACTCCACAGAGGCCAAACTGACAAGACCCCTCAGTTTTGAACTTTAAGCCTCCCAAACTGTGAGGTGAATAACTTTTTTCTTCACAAAGTACCCAGCCTCAAGTGTTTTGTTATAATAATAGAGAATGGATTAACAAGACTTGCCCCTCACCCCTCTGGTGAATATTTCTTTTCTTTTTGTTTCATTTCTTTCTTTTTCTTTGTTTGTTTGTTTGTTTGTTTGTTTTGAGACAAGGTCTCAATGTAGTTCAGGCTGCCCTTGAACTCACTCTGTACCCCAAGCTGGCCACAAACTTATGGCAATCCTCCTGCCTCAGCCTCCCAAGTGCTGGGATTACAGGTGTGTGCCACCAGGCCCAGCTTCTTCCTTCTTTTTATTAGTACATGTTTTCAATGCATGGTGTTTACATTCCTTGTGTGGAGTTGGTATGTGTACATAGTGCATCTTAGTTCCTGTTTTCACCCATTCCCTCTCCTTTCCTTCCCTTTCCCTGTTCCTCTTGGTCCCCTTCCCATTGGCAAAAAAAAAACAAAAACAACAAAAAAACAACCTATCTCCCTATTTTCTATTATTGTTTATTTTGCTCTTTATTTATATTTTCCATTTCTCATATAAGAGAAACTATGTGATATGTAAGCTTGTGTGTCTGATTTATTTTACTTAATATTATTGTCTCATGGTGCATCCATTTTCCTACAAATGACTCATTTACCATTCTTTATGGCAGAGTAGTACTCCATTGTTTGTAAATACCACATTTTCTTTTTCTATTCATCTGTTGGTGAACACGTAGACTGCTTCCAAGATTTAGTTAGTATGAATTGTGCTGCTATAAACATGGGTACCCATGCATCACTGTAATATGATGTCTTTAACTCTTTGGGGAAAATTCCTAGAAGAGGAATAGCTGGGTCAAATGGAATTTCTATTTTTAGTTTTTTGAGGAATCTCCACACTAATTTCCACAGTGGTTATGCTAGTCTATATTTCCACCAACAATGCACAAGTGTTCTTTTTTCCCCAGCATCCCCTTCAGCATTTATAATTATTTAATTTCTTGATGAAAAGCATTCTTTCTGGAGTAAGATAAAATCTCAGTATTATTTTAATTTCCATTTCTCTAATATCCAGAAATGTTGAAAATTGTTTCATGTATTCATTGGCCATTTGTATTTCTCTTCTGAGAAGTGTCTTCATTTTAGTTACCCATTTTTGGATTGGGTCTTTTATTTGAGGAGTCTAATTCTTTTGAGGGTTTGTTTTTTTTTGTATATTCTAGATATTAGTCTTCTGTCCAAGGAATAGCTGACAAAATTTTTTCCCATTCTGTAGATTGTCTCTTCACTCTCTTGGTGGTTTCTTTTGCTGTGCAGAAGTTTTTTAATTTGATGCAATCCTATTTGTTGATTCTTGGTATTATTCGTTGTACAACTGAGGGAGGATTTTGCTGTGTAATTTAGGCTGGCCTTAAACTCACTGAGTAGTCCAGGCTAGCCTCAAACTTATGCCAATCCTCCTGCCTCAGCCTCCCAAGTGCTGGGATTACAGACGTGCTCCATCACACCCGGATCAAGCTGCAATTTTAAAAAGCTAAACAATATGCATGAAATTAATTTTAATAATATTTTTATTTAGGTCACATATCCAAAAATTATTTCAACATATCATCCATATTGGTCATCTTTCTGTCACTGGAACAAAAATATCTGACATAAACAGCTTACATCCTTCATTTAGATTTGACTATTTACATGTTGTCACTTTTTTCTAATCACTCTCTATACGCACTTACAAATAAATACATCTCTATCTACATTTTGCTAAAACATTTGACAGTAGATTGAGCTATTTCAATCCTAAAGAGTTCAGCATGTTAACAACAAAGACATTGTCCTATAAACCACAGGACAGGGCCAGGGATGTAGCTCAGCGGCACAGCGCCTGCCTGGCAAGCATGAAGTCTTGAGTTCGAACCCTGGTACCCAAAAACCCCCCAAAACCATGGCACAACTCGCACACTCTGGAGAGTTAATAGCAGTATAACACCACTTTTTTTTTTTTTTTTTTTTTTTTGAACCGGGGATCGAACTCAGATCCTTGCACTGGCACAGCAGGCGGCGAAACCACTGAGCTAAATCCTCGGCCCCTTTATAACACCATTATTAATCAGTAGTCCAATTTTGCCAGTTGTCCCTACTAATATCTTTAGAGCTAATTTGTCTTTCTTTGGTCCAGGACCCAATCAGAAATCATGTATCACAATTCATTATCTTGTCCTTCGTTCTCCTTTTATCTAGAATATTTCCCAAATGTTTGTTTGTTTGTTTGTTTGTTTGGGTACTAGAGATTGAACGCAAGGACTTCTCATTGAGATACATCCTTACCCCTTTTTTCAATTATTACATTTATTTGACACAGAGTCCCTCTAAGTGGCTAAATTACTCAGGCTGGGCTTAAATTTAGGACCCTCCTGCCTCAGCCCCCTAGAGTGCTGGGATTACAGGGGTGTTCCACCACATCTAGCTTGTTTTTATAACATATTTTGGAGAAAAGCAGACAAGTTGTTTGCACACTGCCTCTCAGTCTGGACTGACTGGGTTGTTTCCCATGGCTGCATGTTGGCCACAGTACTTCATCGGTACTGCTATGACCTTCTCAGTGCCCCTGGGAGGAAGCTCTGGACGCTCAGTGTGACCGCTGAGTTAGGGTGGTGTCTGCACTTCCCTCCATTCCGACGGTACCTTACTGTGGATTAATCATTGATTTATGCGGAAAGGTTTTGAAACTGCTCCACATTCCTGCCAGCACTGTTTTGTTTAATGGTTCCAGCCTGCGTTATGATTCTTGCACTCACTGAGCGTTTTCATGGCAGCTGCAAAATGTGAGCTTCTAAATTTGCCATCCTTTCCACTGTCGTGGGATGTGGATGTCATGTTTTAGGAGAACAAATGCACTTGTAACAAACGGGGCATGGAAAGTCAAGTCCTCAGCCACCTGGGCAGCTGTGACAGCAACAGAGGCTGAGTCCAGTATGGGGTTCAAGTTTCTTGCTCCAAGGGTAGAAGGCACTTTTGGATTCACGGCCCAAGGCCCACTCATCACTTTTCCAGAACAGCACCCATTCCCTTTCGGGAAATTCTCTCTCCCCTCTGTGAAGCATCAAGGCCAGGCAATCAGCCAAGCCGTCCTGATCCCACCCCTTCATAGCCACAAGGTGGGCATTGAATCCATAAGTCAGACAGATGCCCCTGGGCCCAGGAAGGATGCTCAAGAAGAATACTGACACCGGTATGAAAATAAGCGGCTTGACCACACATCCAGAGTGGACAAAGCCACCTGCCCTTCGAGGTGACATCAAACACCCCTTTCCAAGGTCTGTCGGTTTCTCATTTAGCAAAAGACTTTCTCTGACACAGCTAAAAGCTGCCCTGTCTTGGTGGGAGAATTCTGACATAATAGAGCCCATTTTGAACTTCTTTCCCTGGGATCAGTTTTTTCTTTCATCCTTTCCACTTCATAGAGTTCGGTTGTTCTGACAAATGTCTAGATGGCTAGTGATACATTTTGATCTCCTTCAAAATTCTCACAAGACAAACCCTGCTTGTAAATCAGCATGAGTCCCCCCTCTCCCTGCCTCCAAAGAAAATTTTCTAAAATTTTGCTCATCTTGTATCAAGCTCTGCAGGGTTTCTTTATCTGCCTGCTTCCTTGTGTTGTGAAGAGTGAAAGGAAAGCCCGAGATCCTGGTACTCACACCTTCAAAGGTTATAAAAACCTATTTCCTTTTCCGTCCTTTGGATGCCCTTCCCTCTTAGAGTCTTTGTTTTTCCTCTAGTCGCCACCATATGGGTATTAGACCAAATGGCAGATACAGGTGAAAAGAAGGAAGGAAGGAAAAAAGGGAAGGAGGGAGGGAGAGAGATTCACAGGAAGAATGATTCTTATAAATGCTTTATAATGCAAAAACAGTAAAATATTTTATATCTTTCTGTGCATGGGTTTTTTGAGTCACTCAGGGCTGACACTGGACTTGTGCATGTCCAGAGGACTTGGTTACCCTGTGGTGCCACTTCTCAGGGCCACAGGGCAAGCAGAGATACAAGGGTGTTGAGCTCATGGGCACCACTTGTCCTCTCTAAACAAACAACAGGAGATTTGGACTCACCATGAGGCTTAGGAATAAAAGGGATGAGCACGGTCCTTTCAGGTTTACAGAATGCCAACCCGAAGTCTGGGAGCTTCGGTTCTGTTCCACGCTCCCCTCATAAATCTGAACTTCTGCAACAAGACAGGTGGAGGCTCATTCAGTCTTGGGTAGCGAGTTCAGCTCTATGTGGAAAGAAATCAAAGCACAGTGGGAAAGAGTTTCTGCAGAAGTTACGATCCATTTTTCTGAAGTCTGGAGTGATAGACAGGCACCTGACCAAGGGGTTGCTTAAGTTCCTATTCACCAAAGGCACTTTTCACTATTCAAACATTTACTCGAGGTCAGTGCTATTTGGGAAGACAAAAGTGAACCAGGTCTCAAGTTTTTGCTCACAGATGAGCAAGGAAAATAGCCATGTGTGCCCTCGCCAGTGCCATAGATTACACTTGTGTGTGCAATGTTTACCACCAATTGGGTGCCACACCCTCTCATGGGATGCACTGCCGATGTCAGGCTTGTGCAAAGGCAATGGTGCTCCCACAGCTGACTGCAGTGAGCTCTGTATCGCTTCTGTTGCCCTAGAGGGTCACTGAGTCTGCAGAAGGTAGAGTCCAATCTGAGAAAGGGAGAAGTGGGGCTTTAAGGAAAGATGGCACAATCCCCAGATTCTTGCTACTCAAAGTGGGAGCTTCCCACCAGTGGTATGGGCATGACCTGGGCATGTGTGGGCAATGCAGACTCCCCAGCCCTGGGATTCATGTGCTCAAGAGGCATTGCTTGGAATACAGAAAATCTCTATGCATGAATGTATGAGACCCCTCAGGAAGTGCAACAAGGCAAGTACACCCAAGGGTTGACCAATGATTAGTAGATAGAAGCTCACACTTGTAGATAAAATGCCAGATCTTTGGGTGCTCTGCCAGTTCCTAATGTGTGGAGGACAGACAGGCACAGACCCTGAAAGCTAAGTGCTGTCTTTGCATCATGTCACACCCTCTGATCCTCACCTCTGCAAACCTCAGTTTCTCCACCAGGGCAAATTGTACAAAAAGTGCTGCTTCTGTGTAGGGTCTGGGAATCTGCCATCCCAGCTTTACAGGGGCAGAAAGTGGGGTTCCCAGAGGTGGAATGAATCACCCAATGTCACAGGGCTCTCATGAGGTCCCATGAGGACTTGAACGCTAACTGCTTGGCTCTAGGAAAGGGGTTGTCTTAGTCTGTTCTGTGTGGCTATGACCAAATGCCTGAGGCTGTGCAGTTTATAGGCGAAGAGGTTTGTTTAACTCACGTTCTGGTGACTGGAGGACCCCGTTGGCATGGCGCCAGCCTCTCAGTGAGGAACCCCTGGCTATGTCACAGCAAGGCAAAGAGCCAAACAGGAAACCAGCCACATAGAGAAGGGGCCAAGGAGTAGGACAGCCTTGCTTTATCACGACCTGTTCACACAAGAAGTAATCTAGCTGGAGACCAGCCCCACCCTGAGACAGCATGAGCCCATTCATGAAGATGGAGCCCCGGGACCTAGTTACTTCCCGGTAGGCTCCACTTCCTAAATGTTTCACCACCTCAAAGCCACCACACTGGGGAGCATTCTCCCAGCCCAGGAATATTTTGGGGGTAAACCATATTCAATAGCAGGTATTCTGCAGCTGATTCCAGACCAGCACGATGAGGACCAGTCTGGTTGGGACAAATGAAGCGGGGGTGGCCTGTGATATTAAGGAAGCAGAATTCTCTAGTGAGGAACTGGGGAAAGTGGATACAGTACACAAAGGAGGAAACTTGGGGCATCAGCTCCTAGGTGTCTGCAGCATGAAGAATCCGTCATCACAGTCAGTGCCTTGCCAGGTGCCTGCAGGTGAGATGATGCCAACAGGGCCATCCTACTGAGCCCTCACAACTGTCTGAGAAAAATGACGTGGCCTTCAAATCTGGGACAGGTGCCTCCTCTGGGCGATAATGGCCTATTTTTCTCCTCAGGAGGTGACTCGACTCTTCTCTTCATCTCCGAGCGAGGCTGGAAAAAGCCAGATGCAGAGCTTCTTGCTGATACGAGCAAACCTGAACAGAAAACCCGCTGTTCACCCTTGTTTCCTCAGCCACCTTCGAACCTGATCGTGGTCACTTAGAGAGAAGTTCCCGCCGAGAGCCTGAAGAGCTTTGCTTAAAGTAATCAGCAGGGATGGGAGTGGTCACAGACCTCAGGAGACGGCAGGGCAGCTGTGCCTGGGTGCCTCTTCCCTCCAGCTCTGGTCACCCCGACCTGACATCATCCGTAAAACCCTGGTGTCCAATGGGCTTCCGTAGAAGGATCCACATGGGCTCTGTAAACTGGGCCCCAGCAGGAGGGCTGGGGGACTGTGTAGAAGGTCGCCATTTGGTGGGCAGTGTCACTTAGCACCTCCCTTGCCTGCTCCTGCTCCCTGGGGAGACTTGCTTCATGGCGAAGACCAGGGAAGGACAGAACAAATCAGAATTCCTGAATTGATGCCCAGTGAAGTTAACTCCATATATCACTGGTTCACTACAGTCCAACTTCAGGACAAATTAAAAAACAAAAGTCCCGAGGGAAGTCTTAACACAGATTACCAGGCACCCAAGCATTGACCAGCTATGCTCAATGCATTAGGCTACAAATAATGATAATTAATAAACATAATTTGAGAGCTGTCCTGGGCCTGTTAAAGTAAGGTTGGCTAATGTCTTTCTCCCACACAGAAGTGGGGAGTTTGTCATCATTCCCTCCTCCCTCCCACCCCAAGACCAGTGGTGTTCTACCAGTGTGCCAGTGTCTCAGAAGCAATGGCATCTGCAGAGCACACTTTAGGTACATCAAACAGAGGCATTGGTTATAAGGGTTTGGAGATGAGTGGAAGAGCAACTGGGAAAAGAGATGTGGGGAACAAAAAGGTCTAATAACAAAAGCAGCTAATGCCCCTAGGCTGGAACCTGTGAGCCTCCCCCTATTGCTGAGCTGTTGGAGATGCTATTGCTGTCATCTCGGGATTGGTCAAAGAGGGGCCATTGCCACCAGGGGTACACTCGTATAAAAATTATGCCTCCCTTGGGATACTAGAATCTAAAGTTGCCTCACTCTGCTCCTTAACAACTACAGAAGTCTCTGCCCTTCTTCACATTCTGACCTGCATGTAGTCCACCCCAAGAGCAAGCCAGCTGGCAAAGCAGCACAGACAGTATGGTTTGCAAATGGCCAGCCCCAGCACTGCAGAGCTGACTACCTGGAGCACAGCAACCAAGCTGTCCCAGGTTGGCAGTGCCACCTGGTGGCCAGCACTGGAAAAACATGATGCAGCACCACCTTTTGTCTCTCTTCTGGTGAGAGACAGCTATTCATTCCATGTCCTCCGCCATTTTCTAAGTATTTTTAACTCTGTCCTTGTCACTGACTAACTTCCTCACCTTTAGATGAGTTATTTAGCCATTCTGAACCTGTTTCCTGGTCTGTAAGATAAGGGTAATGATAGTCCTGCTCCCGAGGAATATTATGAAGGTTACATAAAATGATGTAGATAAAGTATACATCCCTGTGCCTTATAGGCAGCAGACATCCAACAGATGGTAACCAGCATAGACAGTATGTTTTCTTTTCATCATTAGCTGTCATGACCTTACCCCCATAGAACTGTGAGTTCCACCTGGCACAGTGCCTGGTACCCAACAGAGGAGAATCACACATTTGTTTTATTTCTGCTTTTTCTGTTTTTTCACTCATACAGCAGGTCTTTATATTACTTGATACTAAGCGCGCACATTTATATTCTCATTTTTCACTTTCTTGCTTTTCCACTCTGTTCCCACTCTTGCCACGAAAAAGAGGAACTAAATACAGCTGAAGACCTGAGGGTTGCATGGGTATTAGTTCACTACTATTATCAAACAACCAATGAGCTACAGAGTACTGTTGGTCCCCATTTTGTAGATAAGAAAATGCAGACACAGATGCTATGTGTTTGGCCTGCCCTAGGTCAAGCAGCCAGAAAGAGTCACAGCTGGGACTCACCTGGCGTTCTGACTCCAGAACTCACAGCTGAGCCACTAGGACAGGCAAAGAAGAAGACTTCATATGTAAGTATAGCGGTTAGCTTCAAAGAGCTAAGAGAAGATACCACAATCTATAAATAAAATAATCAGGCACAGAAAATGTCCATATCTAGTGCAATATGGAGAAATTTTAGAAGAGCGACAGCAAGGGGAGTATTTTTTTAAAGTTCCCAAGAGAAAAAAGCTACCCACTAAGGGCTGGCTGTCATATTGGTATTATATTTTTCATTGGTAATTTTGGATGGTAGTGGGCAATACAGGGAATTTCCACTTTCAGACATTTTCCAAAAGGGTGTACTGTGGAGGGTGGGAGTTTAAAATTGTTTCCATTAATATTCTGAAACTAAAGTTTCTGATCATCTCAGCCTAGAGGCAGCAGCAAATAAGGGAAGTGAAAACATGACTCTCACCCTGTGTGAAAATTCTGCCTAACTCTATACTTTGAAAGAATAATATGTTTTAATAATGTAGTTAAAATTTTCGAGATAACTACTAAAGGAATAGAACTAGCATATATTACTTCCAAACCATTAAAGGAAGCCAAAAAAAGTATGCAACAAAGAAAACTTAACCAAACTAACAAAAAAATGCAAGCAATAAATAATAAGCAATCAATAATAAGTAAATAAAAAAGGGCAATACAAAAAAATAGGCCAATACAGACACACTGAAAACAACGTGTCAGAATGTATGTAATGCAAATGCTATCAAAAAGAAACAGATGCAAAGGAAAGGTTAAAAGAAATCGCTGTGTAATCGGTGCCTGGTTGTCACTGCAGAAAAAGAAAAATATGTTTGTGGGAGTTGGAAGGACAAGACAGCCAAGTATTTAAGAAACTGATTTTTAAATTTAATGTGGTGGTGATGGTGGTGGCGAATTTGGAAGTAATGAAACACTTCCTTGACCAGGTTTAGAGACAAATAATAGCCATCAATTTCTGCCATCAATCTTCCGCAGATTTTAGATCTAAGATAAAGATGGCATGTGGCTCATTCTGCAGAGGCCACCAAAAATGACAGTCCAAGGGTCTGGCCCTGAGAGTGGATTCATTCCTGTATTCTCAGGAACTTGGGTCACAGAGTTTGAGCTACAAGCGGACCTCTGCATATGGCCTCCATG